GAGTACCAGAGAGGGCAAAGATTCAACATTGTTTGAGTATCTTTTTGTTTTCAATACACAAACATTGTAATTTTAATTTCAAAAATTATGTTGACCTTTTAGATGCCAAAATAAGAAAAATATGTAGAACTAAAATACAAGAAAATGAGAATGCAAAGACCAGAAGGAAGGATAAATGAAATTAAACAGTTATAAGGCTCTTACATTTTTGTGAAGTAATTAAAAAAAAAAAAAACAGGAGCTATCTATATTATCTATATGCTGCTTACAAAAAAACCACACCTCATTGATAAATACATGCATAGATGGAAAGTGAAGGGCTGTAAAAATATATTCCATGCAAATAAAAACAAATAAACAAAAAGGTTGGAGTCACAGTACTCTTACCAGACAAAATAGACTTCAAGGCAAAAACAGTTAAGAGACAAAGAGGGTCTTCATATAGTACTAAAGGGGACTAATTCAACAAGAATATATAACACTTCTAAATATTTGCACACCCAGCACTGGAGCACCGTGATACATTAAAGAAAGACTGCTAGACATAAAGGGAAATATGGACTGCAACACACTAATCATTGGGGATTTCAACACCCTACTGTCACCTGTGGACAGATTATATAGACAAAAAATAAATAAAGAGATACAGGAACAAAATAGCACCATAAACCAAAGGGACTTGACACATTTACAAAATGTTTCATCCAGCAGCCACAATAAAATGCACATTTTTCTCATCCCCACATGGAACGTTTTTGAAGAATGCTCATAAGATAAAGCACAAAACTGGCCTTTACCAATTCAATTCTATATCCAGCAACTGTTCTAACAACAATGGAATTAAACTTGAAATCAACTACATAAAGAATCTTCAGACATACACAAACACATAGAAATGACACAACCTATTCCTGAATGCCTTCACAACTACTGAAGAAATTAAGACTGAAATTAAAAGATTCATTGAAAAGGGGGGCCAGCAGGGGTGTGGTGGTTAAGGCACTGGGCTCCTTAATGGCTGACTGCAGTTTGAGCCCCAGACATGGCAGCTTGCTTTTTCATTTTTTTTCCCTGTCTCTGGTGAGCGTGTGTGCTCTGTAGCAAATTAAAATAATAATAATAGTAATAATAATAAATAAAATTAATAATTCTGAACAAAAAAGGATTAATTGAAACTAATGATAGTGACACATAAGTCTTCATTGACTATAGGACACAGCGAAAGCAGTCATAAGAGGGAAGTGCTTACTTAGCAATTAGTGCTCACAAAAAAAAAGAAAGATGACAAACAATCTAATGATATCTCAAGGAACTGCTAAAATTACAACAAAAACAGCCCTCAAAAAATACCAGAAGAAAGGAAATAATAAAGATTAGAGCAGAAAAAAGTGAAATAGAGAATAAAAGAACTATACAGAAAATAAATGAAACCAAAAGCTGGTTCTTAGAGAAGATTAAAAAAAATCGACTCACCATTAGCTAGAATAATAAAGAAGAACAAAGAAAGGATCAGATAATTAAAGTCAGCAATAAAACAATGGCATAATGGTTATGTCGCAGTAGTCCTACTTAGTTGATCACAGTTCGAATCCCAGACCTGGTGGCTTAAAACTCATGCTAGGCGTGTGTGCGTGCATGCCCAAAATCCTGAGAGGAGAGTGGAGAAGTGATTGTGGTGAGGCCATACCCCCTGGGGAGTGATTTCTTGTTTTCTGTCTCTCTATCTCTTTCTGTGTCTCCAGCGAGCGCATGTGCCCTACAGCAAAACAAAACAACAACAAAAAAGTCTCTAAAAAGTATAAACCCATTTGATAAAAATACAACATCCCTTCATGATTACAACTCACAGAACTATCAGCATAGAAGGGATGTTTCTCAACACAATAAAACCCATATATGACAAACCCACAGCTAAGATCATACTGAATGGAGAGGAGCTCCAAGGATGCCCACTTCTCCCACTCTTCTTTAACATAGTACTGAAATTCCTAACCAAAGCAATCAGAAAAGAGAGCAAAATGAAAGGCATTAAAATAGGAAAAGAGGTGAAATTATCTCTATTTGCAGATGATATGATTATATACATAGAATATCCAAAGAGTCCACAAAAATACTCCTAGAATTGAAAAGAAATGTTCAATGAAAATCACAAAAGGGGCTTATCTTTTTTTTTTTTTTTTTGAGAGGTTTTTGCTATAGGATGCCTGCACTCGCCAGACAGACAGAGAGAGACATAGAGACAGAAAGCGAGAAATCACCCTCCAGAGGGGATGGCCACGCTGCAATCTCGTCTCTTCCATTCTCCTGTTGGGATTCTGGGCATGCACGCACACACACTTGGCGTGAGTTTTAAGCCACCAGGTCTGGGACTTGAACTGCGGTCTACTACATGGGAGTCCAGTGACATAGCCATTACACCAACTGCTGGTCCCTGAGGCTTATCTTTTTCTTAACTGCAGTTAAACACTTTACATATGGAGCTGGATCCCACATGGCCAACTTCTGTTCAAATCCCAACCCTGTTGACTTGAATAACATGCGAGGTGCATGATGTGTTCAAAAAATCCTAATGAGATGGAGAAATAGCCAAAAAAGGATTGTGGTCTGATCACACTCAATTGGGGCAGATTCTCTCTCCTTTTCTCTCTCTCCCTTTTTC